ACCTCGCCGTGGTCGGCTGGTGACCAATGCATCCATGACCAGTCGGAACGTTGAGCAGGCCAGTGCACCCATCAATACGGCAATTTACCTACCGTCATCACCTACGACTTACACTCTCACACATATCTCACTTCTAACCATGCACACAAACAACAAAGGACACGAACCTTCACTAGTTCACTGCACTTTCCCCACTCCGTGACTTTCCCTGACAAGACCGCCGCTGCCACGGAGGAAGGAAAAAGGTAAGAAGAGGGCATGCCCAGCCGGCGCAGGGCGTAAAAAATGTGGCGGAAATGACATCATGGCGGCCATAATCAGTAGGCACAATGGCGGCGTTGTTATGGTTACGTGTTGCGCAGTGAAGCTGGTCTAGCAGTGAGCGGCCGCTGCTGGCGGCGGAATGTGTGCCTCCCCAGGTCTCGTGCTGAGCCGTGGCGGACAATATCTGTGCTCTGCGCCGCGTTATTGGTTACGCAGTGTTCGTCTGGCTGTTACATTACTCTTAGCAACGTTTACAAATCTCTTTGTCCATCACGAGGTTTCAACAGTGCGTAGAACAAGTGCATATCCATGTGTCGTGCGGCGGATGACGCGGATGAAGCAGTTAGTGTTCAGCGAAATGGCGTTGGGCACCATGACGAAGCTGAATGACGACGAACGCCTTGCAGGTCAGTGACGGTTGAGCAGTGCTCCTGCTTGTGACAACGGACGACGCTGTTGAGCCCAGCAAGACGCCGTGAGGACCATGTGCACATACGTAGTTTCGTGTTGTGTGTGTACAGTAACAACTTGCATGTGCGTATTAAAACACCTTTTCTGTTCCGCTTGGTACACTCTCCACCAGCATTGCATGTAATCTCAACGTAACAGCAACCACGTTCAACTGTCACTAGCACCGTGCTCAAAGTCACCGCGGTCGCAGAATGCTGACGCAGGTGAGTTTCACGCGGAGCACGGACACAGTGGCAGGACGCTGCGTCAGTCGCGTGGCGGAATGCAACCGTAGAAGGCGCACGACCGATCGTGTTGTCTGTACAGTTGCTGAATTAATGACGTGAAAGCGCTCGCTGTTGTCAGTGCATCTAGCGCGCGTTCTTTCGTAGTTGCTTCGTTGTCAGCGAGCTGTTACTCTTTGTTATTACTCGGACGAAGCGATTTCGCTGAAGGTGTCCCGCTGGCTCTGAGTGATGAGCCCAGTTCCATTAGTTTCGGATCGTCACGACACACGCGCTGCGCAAGCCCACGTGCTTTCCGAGCCGGAGAGGGAGTCGCGCCTTCTGCTTCGCATTCATATGTAAACAAGAGAGGAGAATTTGCCTACTCAATATGGCCGACTTCCGGCTTCATCGCGGCTTCACAACGAGTGACGTCAGGGCCTCTCCTTACCTTTTCCTTCCTCCGTGGCCGGCCATTTTGACAGTCAGTTGGCTTAGAATGGCTTGGCTACTTGACTATCTAGAATAGTGCTGCATAGTCAATGGTTGCCAGCTGCTAGTTTGTTACTACGCGCTACAGCGACGTATAATGACAAATTTAGGGCTGTGACATTTAAGAACACACTGTTTCAAATGGACATTTCGCAATACCAGGTTCGATACCTAAGTCAATTGATTACGTGTGTCTCATTAAGCGCGTCGCATAATTTGAAAATTTTCTGCGAAAAAAAAACGAGGCGGAAATATACAATAGCTTTATGAATGTAAGAAAAAAACGCGTGGAGAAAGTTTTCACGTATGAAATGCATCTACTTGGTGCGCAAAAGTCTTCAGGAATTATATCTAAGTGCTCAGTGCAATGTTTTTGTCATCGCCAAAAGATCCTTAACAGGACCTTTTCCGAACCAATTGTTGTCCTCAGAAAGCACTCGAAAAGACGTTTCCGGGGCAAACCTGCTTGTGTCGTCCTCAGTAAGTACTAAGGTCAATGAGAATTGTGCGAGGACGATTGTACCATATGAGGACGACCTCAGGACATCGAGTGTTGTCTGCGTCTTCTGACGGGGTCCTGACATGCTCCCAGTAATACGAGCGTGGAACCCATCACCCACTGAACTTCTCACATCAAGCGACACCTTGGTGCCACAGGTGAAGTGTACGTGCAGGGACTATAGAAGTGTGGCAACCATGCCCTAGTGAAAGACATCGACCTGGGCGGGCATAAGCTATGTGGGCACGAAACCTTCGCCCGGTTTCACGAGATGTTCGTCTCGTAGCGAAATGTTTGTCCTCAAGTTTTCTCCAGTCTACAATAAGCTACCTCGACACCGTTTTTCCGAGTCTCCGGTGCCAGAGCAGCAGGACCCAACACTTCAAAAACCTCTTGAACCACTGATATATTTCGACAAAGTCAAATGTCATTTCGTAATCTATGTCATGCGGAGGGTTCTTTTTTATTCGGCCGTTTATGAACTATTCGATAGCTCGTATGATGATGATATATGGTAAAACGTTATCCTATGTACAATTCAGATTATCTTCACCATACAACATGCTGAAAGAAGGTCGATCTATCTGTGTAATTCGTGGGTGAACGGCGCAATAGATCTTGGTGCAACAAAATATAGATGGCGTCACCCATTGATGGAAAAATTTCGTGCGTGCACGTAATGGCAAATCATCGGGATAAGAGGAAAGGTTGAGAGTTTGGTTGTTGCGTTCGCACGACGTGATGACTTTTAGCGAACTATACTTGAGAAGAAAGCCATGAAAACACAAAAACAGCGAAGTATCGACACAGGACAAGTGCCGGACTAACAATAAATGCTTATTAAAGAAAAGCCACACGCATGAACAATCAGCGCATGTCTAAGTAGGCTATCTGAGCCAAGTATAGCGTTGCAAAATCAACAGTCACAAAGTGTTGTGAACAGCTCATTTCCCCAAAACGCCAAAATATAAACGCCACGTGCACCATCTGACTACACCCAAATTCTTTAGCCGAGCAAACTGAGCTGAGATCACATCGCACATGACACTCTGGTCATTTGTTTATTAATTCGAAAGGCTTCGCAATTTTCATGTTCAATCTTATTTCTTAATTAATTTGCTATGAAACAATGATTTTAAATCAGGGGCACTGCTACAGCCTTTGCAGCACAGACGTACGTAAGTTTACACATTCCCTTTTCGAATGCGGCCACGTCTAAAGCGATCAGACGGTCCGATGGTAGGCTGCGTGATCACAGCATTCTAGTTCGTACAGGTATACTGGTGGAAACTCACCCCTGTGCCTCTGATATCAAATAATAAATAAGGTTGAACGTTAAATCTTTAAAACCTTCAAAATAAAGCAAAACATGGCAAAGTGTCACGTGCAAATCATTCCCCACTTTCCCTTGCACATAAAGATTAGTGGGTGCACGTTGCGTTCATATTTGGTGTTTCATGAAAATGTGGCGTTTTTCTAGCACCTTAACACTTGTTCACTGTACGTTAGGTGTGCAACTGTGAAATGACTCAGATAGCCCATTTACGCATGCGTTCCTGGTTTGTGTGTGTGGGTGGGCTTCCTGCAATAAAAATGTGTTTGAAGTCCAACCCTTGTCCTGTCTAATTGTTTACCTTTGCTGTCTTCCTGTGTTTCACTTTTTTCCAGTTCCGAATATTCTGAAGCAACTCACACAGCAAGCTACGTTAGTGATGTGCTGTTTCAAACGCGATTGTGACAAATCCGATCTAGTTAGTAAAATTTAGTTCGAGACAGAAAACGGGCGAAATAAAGGCGCGCATTACTCGGTTTGATTTTCTCTCGAGCACATGATAAAGGGGAGAAAACACAAGACATTGTACACCCGCACCTAGGTGTGTTGTCCTCATAAATTCATGTTCCGTGCAGAACTTCACACGAAGTTTATGGTGACCCCCATTTCGTCCAAATGTCGACCTTCATGAACCCGCCATTCTATACTGATTAGGTCGTTTGTTTGATGAAGCATATTCAATTTGTGGCGTTTTCCTTTTATTAATCAAAGGGTGTGTTACTTAACTGGCTTTTATAAATACAGATGCATCAAACAGCTAACTCTAGCTCACTCGTTAAGACTGTTGAGCAATATAAGCAATTGCTTTCATGCGCATAGAAGCGCTTTACATTACTTACACCACTCTTCCCCTTTGAACTGCCGCTGTTCCTTGACTCGCTTTCACAGTCATATTGATTGTTATTCCAATACCAACATCTTAATCTCACCTTTATATATATATATATATATATATATATATATATATATATATATATATATATATATATATATATATATATATATATATATATATATATATATAGATATATATATATATATATATATATATATATATATATAAAGGTGAGTATAATTAAGATTTCGGTAGTGTAATAACAATCAATATTGTATAACAGGAAACTGTATATATAGTCTCCACCGTCAGCCTCATTAAACATCGGCGTTGACGCTATCACCGACCTGGATTTGCCAAATAAAGTGACCCTGAAAGGAGATTAAAATTAACACTTATTTTTTAGTCCAGCTACCTCTCTACGTTATTAGGAGCACTGAGCAAGTTTTTCTGGTCCAGTTATTTAACGTGAACCGGCATAGAAGTATGGCAGCTTGGGCTAGTTGGTATGGCATGACGATAGTCATAGCGCGAGAACAAAACGACGATACAGAGACAGCGCTCGTGTCTTTCGTGTCCTTCTTGTCTCTGTGTCGTCGTTTTGTTCTCGCGCTATAACTATCATTGAACCGGCAGGCGAATCAATTACGATGCGTTTGCCAAGCGGGCAGAACTGAAAAAGAACTGACTATTTACCGGTGAAAATAAAGTATAATAGAGAGGCAGGTTTCCTAAAGAAATTTAAGCGTACGTAAAAAACAAGCGTGCTAATCACGCAAAAAAAAAAAGTACATTCATTGCGGCGGCGCGCTGATCAATTGACGTCGGTGGTGGCGGCGCGCCGAGTTTTCGGCGCAGACCGGCTTGCGCTGACGCCGCCACCGCCGACAACTCCGGACGACTCTCGCGCCGCCGCCGGTCGAAGCCGCCTCGGCGCACGCCTGTAGCTGTGAGCTGCGGCCCGCGGGAGAAGTGGCTCGATATGTTGGCCTCGATGCTTCCAAAAGCAGTTTTGTCGCCTTTACGAAGTGCTGCTTACGATGCTACTCTTCATCGTTCGGAAATGTCTCTGTTGCTGGGTGTGCAGCAAGTGAGATGGAAGAAGCCCAAGGGCACGAAACCTCGGTGGATGCCGATTGCCCCCAGCAAGCTTTTCAAAATTAATTTGGGACCACCGAAAGATCCAGAAGAAATCGCAGTGCTCAGCCGCTTGACCGCTGCCTATAAAACCGAAATGAAAGCAATCAGGTGCGTGTCCTAATGCCCTGCATGAAGCATACCATCGAGTTTCTGGCGTGGTATGTGCGCGTCGGTCTGCTATGTGAAAGTGTGTTGCCGCGGCGTCGCATTGTCGTTGTACAGTTTGATTGAAAGACTGCTCGTGTATGCCAATGAAACGCATGAAACATGTAGATACGGTGCTTAGATCTACGGCGTGCGCACAGGGGTGACGGGGGTGCAGAGTGCAGCCCCTCTCTAGTCACACGAGAGGAGGGGGGGGGGGGGGTTCAATGTCTGCCTTATAATTTGACTTGATAGAAAAAGGGGCCCTGCTACACCCCCCCCCCCCCCCCCCCCGCCGGTGCCATAAATTGATAGGTGTCGCTAGCTACTTACCGAGCCGTTATTGAATTCAATCGTAGTTCGCCCTTGGTCGTTTACATTTGATGAAATACCATAAGGTTTGACCGTCGTTTACATTTGATGAAATACCATAAGGTTTGACCGGTTCCACAATAACTAAGCAGCACTTCGTGACATTTCTGTCTTTTCTTAAGCGCACGTAGTTTCCACACTTCCTCCATCTAAAACTGCAGTGTCAGTTTCATTCATCAATTATTACTTCTTTGCTGTTCCTCTTGCAGAAACTTTTGGAGGGATGAACACCTGAAAGACCTCGAATTGGCTGACAAGCACTCAGCCCTGTCTCAAGAGGAAGAGCGAGAGCACGAGCGCCTTCTTGAAGAAAATGAAAAGGAAAACCAGAGGGTTGCTGTACTAAGGTATTGCCCTATACGGTGCATTCCTTGTTTAATATTTTCCTCATTATCTATTCACCTCGTGACACGATGATTGCAGTAAAAGAGCAATGATCTGTCCACCTCGTAAAATTAATTTCAATTTCGTTTGCTATTGTCGTGCTTAGTGACATCACAGTCTCCCTTGTGCCTGGTGCTAGAGAATTACCAACGTTCAGCCTTTTTCTAGCAATGCACCACTCTTATGAATCCACGTCTGAGCTCATAATACATGCTTTTAAATTGCCGCATGCTTAATGAAAGTATTAAAAAATGACCTAGCTTTTCGAGAGAATGGTCATATCACAAGCACATGCTCAGGTGTCATTTACTGCAAGGAATGCTTTTACTAGTGTACTTTCCTCAGTTTATGTTGCTCTTTTCCCCTTCCCATACAGTAAATACTTGTGTATCATCTATAGACTTTGCCTTTGCACCAGATTATTCAGAAAGCAGTGTCTAGTGTCCTCCTTCACTAAGAGTGAAGGTGTAGAAAGAGTGGTCCCAAGTAGCATGATTACAATAATTCGTTGAATGCTCCGAGTAATTTGGCTGCCACTTTTTTTCTAGCTGCTCAACTTTTCCTGTTCCTTCATTAGTTTCTGTACTTCCTGTTCTCTTTTTTAAAATCTAGAAATCGGTGAATAGCAGAAAGTCTTGCGACTGAAGTTGCTTTGTGCGATTAGGATTGTGCTGTGGATGTTCACATGCTTTGCAGACTTCGATTGAGTGAGCCTCTTTTGAAGACAAATGCTGCTTAACTTGTTTCCCATGATGCTTGAGGAAGACACTGTTGTAATGTTTAGAGTTATAAAGAGCTCCGCTTAGTTTGTGATTGCAATATCTATTGCTACGTCGTGTGTGAAGTACCACTCACCGTTTTGTTTCCTGCTGTCTTGGTGATGACATGCTGCTTTGGATTTTCATTGAAGTAGCCTTCAGTCCAGTGTCATAGATAACAGGTTGAAAGTCACACAGTAAGCTTCTCCTTTGGGGACTAGTGTAGTTCGTTCATTTAAATCGTAACTAACCTATGCTGTTGCAGTACAGATAGTACACGTTTTACCCCTTTATACTTTTCTACCTTGGAGTTCTACGATGGCTTCATGGCGGCCTAGTTGACCACTACCATATATAAAGGTAGCTAATATTAGCATTAAATTAGGCTTGCCTTCTTTGTTTGCATGAACGGTCATCATTTCTTTTCATGGCATGCAGTTTACATTAGCATATTTTCGAGATTACGTGGTGGTGTTGTGACTTTTGCTTTTTAAAAATGGTATTGCGATACAGTTGCTGGCCTTGTAACTGTTCTGTCTAATTAATACTTCTAGGATGGAAAGAAACAAGCAGGAAGAAGCGAAGAGAGTGGAGGAGCTCTTGCAGAGGGAAGCTGAGGCAAAAGCCAAGCTTTTGCAGTTCAAAGAGCGAATTGAGGAGATTGTGAGGCTTGAAAAGGTGCGCATGTTGTAGAATGTTGGTGCATCGAGTTGCCAATGCATTTTGCAGCTCATGCATTGAAAATTGCTCGTTCTTCCATCTCTTTCTCAAGCTCATTCTCAAAAGTACATTGATTGATATGTGGGGTTGAACGTCCCAAAACCACCTCATGATTATGGGAGCCGCCATAGTGGAAGGCTCCGGAAATTTCGACCACCTGGGGTTCTTTAATGTGCACCCAAATCTGAGCACACGGGCCTACAGCATTTTCGCCTCTATAGAAAATTCAGCCGCCACAGCCGTGATTCGATACTGTGAAAAGTGGGTAGAGCTTACTTCTAGAATAAGTCCGCCGAAGATTGCAGAACTGTGTGCTGTAGGTGCAAGGGGCAGCTTAAGACGCAAGCTGACTGATGTTAAAGCGAGTGTTAGATTTTGTATATTTAGAGTTTATGGGCGCAAACGACCAGATCTACAATAGAACCAAAACTGCTAAATGAAGGACTGCAGAGCAGGATGTGACGTTTCTAATGCGCCAGAATCACGTCCTGTATGCAAGATCTGAAAGTCTCTAATGTGAAGGCATCCTTTTCTGCAACATTCTCAAAATTGAAACTACTTTGATCAAATGTGTTGTCTGTGGGCTCATTGACAAGGTCACATCTTTGTACCAAACATAAAATAATGAAATAAGATTGAAAAGCCAATGTGTGGGACTGATTAAGACAGCTCGAAAGTGTTTTCTTAAGAGACTTCTTTTGGGGATGAGATTTTGTGACTCCAAGTACACTAATCACTGTCCACTTGTTTTTTTGCAGAAGAGAAGTTCCACGTATGTCACCCTCGAGAATTTGGACCAAGCCATAGAATTTGCCATTGAAAACCCAGTCAGCTACAGCTATGCCATCGATCAACAAGGAAAGGAAATTTGGGAGGGAACGCCTCACTATGAGCTGTACAAAGAAGGGCCTGCACATGCCTACGCAATACCCAGAAGGAAACGATTTTAATTTCGATGCAAGAATATAATCAATGAGAACCTAGTACTGTTGAAATGTATAGTATTAAACTGTGCAGTAATTTTTGTACTGTTTAATTTTGCTGATGTCCTTTGAACTTGAGAGGTTACTGGCTCCAAACTTTGCGAAGCATTGTAAACCCGGCTTCAAATTTCCTGTTCACAATGACTTCCTGCAGTGAAGTGCCAAGCTCAGGAAATGTGTTTACTTGGTTTATTTTGACATTATTTCCATCTACACTTGTGCAGCGCCATGCTACAGTATCAATTCTGGTGACTTCACACACCAGCATGGCTTGTCATAATGAAGTCTGGTACCAGTGTTGACAGATGCTACTGAGCTAACAAGGGAAAAATCATCACAAAAAAAAAGCCTAGGCGAGCTACTCTACCTTTACCAAGAAACGTAAAAGCAAGCAGGAATTCGATCAACTTTTCCATTGTTTCAAAAGTTTTTAATTTATATAATAAAAATGTCACTCAAATGCAAAGGGGAGTTAGAAAAATTACTAACCTTTACACCGAAAATATCTGCAATAATGAAAAAAATTACACTTACTTTTTAATATTGTCTCCAGGATGGTACTCTATTTGGTTGACTGCAAGCTCGACAAATGCGTTATCACTGCACAAAAAACGTGCTATTCGTGAACCCGATCAAAACAACAAAAGTAACTATACTTGCAGGATAAGTGCAAATAAGCCCCAAAAAGTGACAAGCAACAGGAATACTCTGCAAGCGACTTGGTGAAAGAGGTAGCCCAACTCTGCTTATTATAAGCGGAACTGGCAACTTTGTCAGGTATTTGAATGTAAAAAAATTGGCACATACCATGCTCAGTGGGAATCTATGATATGCGAAGCACGAATGAGACAGGTTGATATGTCAGTTTAAAATCAGCACAACGTAATGAGGTGGAGGTAATTGGTGCCGTACATGACTTTCGTGTCATGATTATCTTGTTTGTATGTGTCGTTTACCTTCTTCACCCATTCACGTCACGTGATACCAAATTTAGTATATTTGGAACCAGCGAAACGCCCGCGAGCATGCTTTGAGTGTGGTATGTTGTCATGTTCTTACATGACACGCATGTCAGGATTATCGTGTTTGTACCAGTCATATATTTCGTCATCTGTTGACGTCACGCAACAGCAAATTTGGTATATGTGGAGCTAGCAAAACGATCACCAGCACATCATGAAGGGCCTAATATACTCCATTGTAGCGTTGACGCGCACGCATGCTGGGCACAGCGACGCTACGTTAGCAAAACACGAGCACTCTATAGTCCGACGCCAGGCGCGACCGGTGCGACCAGCGTCCGTCGGCACAGTCCGATGGTGGTAGGCGGCGCAAAATGCGACATGCTGCATTTCGCACCGATGCATTACCCAGACAACACTGAGTCTCCCTCTTTTTGTGAGGGAGGGACGCCGGACGCGCTGAAACGCGCATGCGTCAAAGCAAAGCAACACAGCGCGGTGCGCGCCTGCGAGTATATGGCAGGACCGGTGCCTGGCGTGGCAACGCCAGTGTGACGCTACGAAGTGAACACCGGCGAGCACGCGCACCACGTCAAGTCGAAATGTGTTGGCGCCTTGACTGTGGCATGTAGTCATGTTCTCACATGACACGCATCTCATGATTATCATGTTTGCACAAGTCACGTACCTTCGTCATCCATTGACGTCAGGTAATACCAAATTCGGCATATGGGAAGCTAGCGAAGTGACTGCCAGCGCATCATGAGCATGGCATGTAATCATGTTGTTACATGACATGCATGTCATGATTTTCATGTTAGTGTTTGTCGCTTGTTTTTGCCATGCAATCATGTCATACCATACCAGTTTTGACAATGCCACGTGAACGAAACTCCCACAAGAGCTTCAGTACAATGGAATGTAAATCATGGCATGAATGTCATGATTTTCATGTTATGACTAGTCAAATATGTTCTTCATACAGTCATCTTATGTCATACCAAGTTTGGTATGGATACCATTATCGAGACGGCCAGGAGAGTTAAAAGTCGTAGACAGCTAGATAGATGGACACGCTCAATGTCACCGAAGTTCACTAAGAAATGCTTCGCATTTAAAAAAGAACAATTACTACTTGCACATTGCCAACAGAGCATTGGGGGGGGGGGGGGGGGGTAGAAGCGTCGTGGTACCTTGCGCAAACACATGACTAGAAACCAATACAGGGTTGTGATGTCAGGGTGCAGTAAGAACCCAAACTAACTTTTAAAAACATGTAATTAATTTTTTAGGGCACACACACGTTTGCTGATACATTGTCTTAACTATGATTGCTTGGCTTTCTATTTGATGCAAAAAATGGACTGAAAATTTGTGTGTTGAAACTTTTTCAAACGATTACTGACATAATTACTATGTGGTAGGGCATTTTGCGTGGACATGGAATGTACCAAGTTTGCACCACCACACTGATAAACCTAAACAGTTTTTATAATGGGTTTAGATGTCCCTAAATCTGGTACTAAGCTCCTTGTGGGGGGGTGGATTACATCTTGAAACGGGGTTGTGTAGAGACATTTAGGCCGGCCTTTGGGTGTCCCGAGTACAGTCCAGATGAATTTCAGGGCACAAGAAGTTGACAGCTGTTGAAACTGCCATTGTGCGGATATCCCACCTAAGGCATTGCCCATCGGACAAGAACCAGTATATAGCGCATAATCTAGCAAAGTCCAAGAGCAATTTCAAATCTCATAATCCTTTCTGAACAACTGGACAATTCATTTAGACATCCAAGAAATTTCTATAAATGATCTTTGCACAGAAACACATACTAACAATACTGTCTGTACAGCATCTTTGAAAAATATTTGAAATCTTCTGCCATCAAATTCGATCTATGTGGTGCAGTAGCAGGTGGTTGGTTATTCGAAGAAATAAACAAGCTAGTACTAAAGAGGAGAATAAAAAAAAAGTACTTTATGTACAGTACATGGTATTTTGAAATCGCTGTGAATTTCATTGGTGAAAGGTGCCTATTGGTGGCTTCGGTAATACAGATTTCCAGTGTTATTTCATCTAACAGAAATTTAAAAAAAAGTAAAAGGTAGAACTGACCCTTAGGCATACCATGCATTAGTATTCAGTCTAAACCACACTGATATGAGAAAAATGGGTGTTAGAGACACCAGTGTGCTTACAGTAAAATACGGGTGGATAAGAAAATACGGTACCCTGCTTATAAGAGACATCTCACATAAAAGGGTTTAACTGTATTTAAATAGCGGTATTTATAAGTTGAGTGAATTAAGCAGGTTGTCTTGTACATGTGCGCTAGTCTCTTTGAGTGTTGAAATGTACGTTCGATGAACTGGACACACGCGTGTCGAAACCCTGCCTGCTTTGTGCTGCTGCACACGCTGCAACACTGTGAATTCATTAATCCAGGTGTTTTTGGTGGCACCAGAGAACTCGTAGGTTGAGGTTAAGCGAAACTCCACTGCAAAATGATACAGGACCACAGTCGTAACAAGATTCTTTACAAACCTTTAATACTTTCCTCTAATAACAACCCTCTCTCACTATAAAACGTAAAAAAACAGCAAACATTCCTTTCATACCACTGCTTCTCCGAATAACTTAACATTTTTACACATATGTACACATTTGGAAGCATTCGCACCACACCCGACGTGTACACAATGCACGACTGCTGCAAGAGAAGGCGCATGCATGCGTTCACGGAGGGCATCGCTTTGCCGGCATCCGCTGGCCACTTCGAGTGTGCCGTTCACTTGCATCTTTCATTGTCACAGAGTGTTACTGGAGCTACAGAGTAGCTTCTCATTTTGTCTGGAATCCTGTTAACACGACATTAATCTGAAATAAAGGCACAAAAATTATCATCAGTGACCAAGCTTTATACTTGAAATGTTCGATAACAAAAAGTAACACAACGGACTGCATGGCACTGGAGCTACTTAGTGCAGCTGTGAACATCAGGCGGTGAAAATTTCACACATCTATGTGCAGAAAACACGCGATTATAAGGAAACTATGTCTGAAAAGGCATGCACGGTTCTTTTGATCAGTACTTGGTCATCATATTTCAATTCAACCTTCTAGAGATCATGTTTTTGTTTGAATTACCTGAGGAAGTTTGATACTTATAATATGAATTCAACAGATTTATGATACTGTGACAAGAATATGTGCATTATTCACCCACTCATACTGAAATAAATGCATGAATAGAAGGTTGTATGTATTAGTACCAACAAATACACTGGCCCCCAGCAACACGCCATTCTTTATAACTGATTGCATACTTTAAGTCCTTAGTGTAAAAAGATTTTGGTGCTTAAAAACTAGGCTTGTGTTCACAACCTAGGTGAATATTTGAATACTCGAACGAATATTGCTGTATTCAAATTCGTTTCTATTCGTATATAAGTTGTTAAAAATTTCGAAGTACAGTCAAACCCCTTTATAACAGACCCTGGTATAAGAGACAAATGGATGTAAGAGACATCAGTGTGCTTACAGAAAAATACGGGTGGATAAGAAAATGCATATGGGATGCCCTACTTATAACAGACATCTCAACTGTATTGGAAATGAATGAGTGGCTGTAATGTAACCCCCTGTAAAGGTAACTTTGCTGCAGTGATGAGTTGCTAGATTAGCAAGGTGTGGGAGAGGGCCAGTTGGTATTTCATGTCTTGAACAGCTGAAGCGCAAAAAAAGGTAACAACGGACTATGGGAACAAGCGCTTGTCCTCGTTCACTTCGCCACTTATCTTTTTGCGCTTCAGCTGTTTAATAAGACATGCTAAATTAGTTTGTAAGTAACCTCCTGTAATGACCTTTTTCACTGCAGTAAAGGGCTGCTAAGCCGTGAAAACTAGAAAAAATCCGCATTGCTGCGAAACCCCACTTCAAGACGTAAGTGAACATATTACGCTCACATTTACTCCTAGTGTTTTCAAGTTTAAAAGCTTGTTATACTGGCTCCTATGCTCTACGTACATTAAACTTTAAAAACTTGACATATTTTAGAGGTTATCACCTGCATTAAGCCGAAAGTCAGATCCTGCTACTATTCAAAGTTGTTTCAATTTCCTTTGAACCAAGAAAATAGGCATAAGCACAGACCTTTCATCAATTAAAAAAATATGTATATTGTGCAGGTTATTTTGGTTATGACAAATACCGTACTTTCTTGCATATAACCCACTCCAAGAATTGTGAAAAATTGCCTGAAAAGCGGGGGTTTGTATTATCTGCGAATAATCCGGAAACAAAGGTTGGCTTCACGGCAATGCGTGCTTTGCTGTGCAGTTCGCATGCCTACCGGCACCATCTGGTGCAAAGCCAATGAAAGCCAATACAGGCCATAGACAGATCCCCCTATAGGGTGTTCATTCCCTTTTTGCGTGCTTTCTTTGATCATGACCGGACTAGAGACGTGCGCTCGCTCCCTCCTTTTACGGCCTAAGCAGCTGCAGTGAGTACAATGAGGCTGTTTTTATACAGTGATGAGGGTTCGCTCCATGTAAGGGCGTGGTGAGCCAACTCTTTAAAGTGCGTTTTGGGGCATACTCATTGCATTGTAAATCAGCTCTCCCCAACCACTTTTTTGTGCTAATTACTTCTTCCATTTATAGGAAGCAGCGGGTGTAGTATAGGTGCACATGGGACAGTCTGGCTTTCTTGGGCATCATAAATTTGGCAGTGAATACGCACACGCAACGCTACAAAAATTTAAATTTTTAAGGCTCGAACACCTTCTTTATGCTGAATTTGAAAATGCTTAAGGCTTGTGTGCTTAGCTTTATCATTTAGGTGCACGTTGTGGGTGTGCCGACACCCCCCCTGTAAAGTTGTCTGCCCCGTGTGGTGCACGTGTCTCGCCCCAAGGCTTTATTTCGGTGGTGAACACCGCCGGGCGATAGATGGCGTTGTGTTCGCTTTGAGTACCATTGTTGGTAGAGTGGTAGCGCCGGTGGTGGCCCCTGGCGGAAGGCGATGAGCGCGTTCGCCTCGCCGAGACCCCACACTGGCTGCCCAACGTGGAGCTCTTGGAGTATCGGACGACAGTTTTTGCGCTTCAACACAGGGATTTTGTTAGAGCCGGAGTAGAGTAGGCCTAGGGGGGACTCCTTTGCTAGCGTCGGTGGTGGGCTTTTTTGAGAAGCGAGGAGATTGGTTTTGTAACGTGTTTGAATTCGTCGGCAGGTTGACTTTATTTTTTTTATCTCGCAAGTGTTGTTATTTTTTGTTTGTTGTTTTCAAAACGTTGTTGAATTAGGACGAGAGCCATACGGTCTGCATCCTGGGGTGAGCAAGGCCTAGAGCACGTGGTTTGTAGGCCAGGCCCGAAGCGAGTGAGTACGGAAGCCTCGTGGGTGGTCCGTTTTTCTGTAAATAGCTTCTTCTGTATCTTTGGGCTCAGGGAGCCGGGCGTCGTTGCTGTCTGGTATTGCGGCTCGACGCCGAGGCGTCGTGACACCGCCCGGGGCGGTGGACGCCGCTCGCTCGGTAAGCTGCTGTGTGCGGCGAGCGATAGGGCCACCTCAAGAGTGGACGTCTCCTTGCGGCTGCCTCTTCTGCGCCTAGGCTGGGTGGATGCCGGTTGTTGCCGAGCGACTCATTAGGCCTAAGGCTCTGCGCAGCCGCCTGTCGCACGTGGCACAACTAGGTCGATCGTGGCGTTGAGGTGTTGCGCTCTGCTTCCCTCACTTTTTTTATCTTGCGATGCAAGGGTTAGGAAAAGTGATTTTTGTTTTATTTTGATGGGCGTCTCGGCCGCCACCGATGTATTAGCTAGCAGTACTGACCAAGGTACCACGTGGACGAAAAGCTCGAAGCTCCCTTTCCGAGGACCTGCTCGATTGTTTTCTTTCAATTTTTTTGTTGTTATTGATGTATTCAGCGGGAGGGATGTCATCCACGGCCGGCTGTCCTGCACATTGTCAGCGTCGCTGGCCAGGAATGAGGTCGGGCGATGGAGATGCCTGGGACCTGCGCAACTGCCTGCAGTCCGGCGCCCTCGCGAGTGCCGGTCGCAACTGGAAGATGTGTCGGCGCTAACGACGGATCGTCGCGCCGACGGCAACGTTGCTGTTGCGGGACCGGTACTGAGGTGAAGCCTAGCCGGACAGTGCAGCGGGGTGTCGACCAGCGGCGGTGTCGTGGTGCAAAGACATTACGGTCGTGCGATATCATTTTTTTTTTGTTAAAGCTTGTGCAGCTAATTTTTGATTTCGGGATATGGTTTGATTTAAGGTTGGGGGAATGTGGGGGGTGCCGACACCCCCCCTGTAAAGTTGTCTGCCTCGCGTGGTGCACGTGTCTCGCCCCAAGGCTTTATTTCGGTGGTGAACACCGCCGGGCGATAGATGGCGTTGTGTTCGCTTTGAGTACCATTGTTGGTAGAGTGGTAGCGCCGGTGGTGGCCCCTGGCGGAAGGCAGGCCTTGGTGGTGGGCGAGAGTTGAGCGACTCTCTTCTGCGCGTGGCGTTGTCTGTAGCGTGGGTCCCCCGGTGCTCGGCAACGCGGGCTTCGCGCCGGGGTCCCACGTGGAAAGTCAGGCGTTGGCGCCGCCGCCTTGGGTATGTGTTAGTGTGTGTTTATCATGCTATTGTGTGTGTAGTGTGTCACTGCGTTATGTTGTTTGTATGGTAGCGTGTTAATTGAAATTGGTGTATCATTCGGCGGACGATATCGTCGTCTAAATTAGTTAATAAATGTATGTATGTTGTGTACTTTGTACCGACCGCGTCGACTGTGTCCGTTCACTCCAAGAGCGTGGCGTGGCGAGGCGCTCGTTCGCCTCGCCGAGACCCCCACAACGTTAAATAACCCCAGATGACTGAAATTCTCGAGCCTTCCAATATGGCGTTCTACATAATGACGTCATGGTTTTTGGATGATAAACCACTTAATCGTGTGGTTGTCAAACTCTTTCCCAGTATGATCATATGTTCGGTCGTCATAACGATGAGATTGCCGGCCACATTGTCGTGGCTGAATACATCGATGCTTCTGCGTATGTATAGGGTTTTAGTGCCAGGGCCGGAAAGTTGCTTACGGTTTTTGTATTCTTTATGGGTGCATCTGGAGGTGCAAAGGAATGTAAGAGCGTGAGTACCTAAGCTGCTTGCAGTTCTCGGCACTAAATCTATGCATTATCTGAATAGCCCTGTGTTTGTGGACTTCCTTTGGCCTCGTGTTGAGTTAACAAATCAGCTGAGGCATCCTCACATCGCCTTCTTCAAACGTCACCACACTATGTCGGAGCTGCTTTGTTGGCGCTTTCGGGAAAGTGGAGACAGCATGCATGAACGAACGGATTTGCAATGTGCGGTATGTAGACTAATGAATGAGGTGCACTTCTGAAAACGGAAGCAATTCAGGCTGTGATTGATGTCGTTACTTTAGCTAAAAGCGACATGACAGTGTTTTACCGGGAGTGCCTTTTTTTGTTCCCCTGCCTCTCTTGAAAGTGCATACAAGGAGAGGCGAGCATTCTGCGGCCCAAAAACTGGTGCTTACCCCCTTTTGAGACGCAGCTTCTCAAATTTATTGAGGAGTAGAAGAGTCGCGGCCACGCTGTTTCAACGGAGATAGCGCAAATAGAAGTGCTGAGGTTGGCCCGCGAGATGAACATCTCACGCGAGTTTTGAGCAAGCTGTGGATGGCTCCAGCGAATCATGGCCAGGGTGGGGGCGATTCCAGCTGACGTGGTGCGCAAGAGCTTCAAAAAGTGTGCCATCAACAATTGCTTGGATTGTACTGAAGACGATCGCGTCTTCAAAAGCGGCAATGAAGCCTCAGATGGCAGTGGCGACAGCGGCGAGTCGGGCGATGGTTGAAGAAATGGGAATCGGCAGTCAACGTGGTGGCGATTGCTTTGAAATAAAGTTCTTTTGTAAACGAGATTGTGACTGTCCAGTTGTTACTGCCCAAAACAGCTTTTTTTAAAGCTAAGCAAGTGGGCTATACGCGAGAATTTTTTTTGTCTTTTTTTCGGGGAGCTCTAAGTTAGGGATGCGGGTTATATGCGAGAAACTTACAGTTATGTTCATTTTACTTTATAATATGCAATATACACCATTTAAATTCGATTCAAAATTATTCGACCAAAATCACTATTCGCTTCGACCCTAAAATTCATAATTCACACAAGTCTCTCAAAAACGAAAATATTATAGATATCTCGCACAATGTAGAAATGGGTTGATCATATTCTATTTCCTAATGAAGGGTGAACGCCTATATTTTCATAGGTTTTTTATCTCTGGTGAGCCAAGAAGTACTTATCAACTGATATCTTTGGGCTGCTTGACTGCAGACATCACAAAATTGCATTAAAAATGGAGCATGCCAATTATGGTTTCTCTTTTCTGCCTTTGCATTAAAACAAAATGCACCGACTTATTCATCTCTCAATTTTTTTTGCAAAAAAAAAAAAAAAAACTTTATATAACCAGAATTTAGAATTCTATATATACTAGAATTAAATGTGCATAGTACTATAAACCAGTACTTCACACGTTTAGAATATCACATACATATATGTACTACCAATTACCAGCATCTGACAACATGCTTAACAATAATCTAATGCTAGTGCTAACTGTATAGCGAACTGAACATTTAATGCCCCAGAACACATTGCACTAAAGTAACAGTGTATCCTTTCACAAATAAACATTTAATTTTCCCACCGAAGATGCAACACTTTAAGGTGATACCCGAAATAATTGTATTAATTAGGCACACTGATATGTCCTGAACACTAATAAAATACATGTTCCATTTAAGTTTCATTTTTCCCATAGGGTGTTAAGAAAATGGTGTCAAAGGGTTCACCTGGAAATTATCGGCCCATTTCCTTGACGTGCATATGTTGCAAGATCCTTGAGCATATCATAGCTTCTAACATTTATGCGCATCTAGAATCTAACAATTTCTTTTTCTCTAACCAGCACCGGTTCCGAAAGGGTTGTTCTTGGGAGACTCAACTCTTTGAGTTCACCACTGACCTACATTTTAACATGAACAGTAATCTACAGACAGATTGTTTATTTCTTGATTATGCAAAGGCATTCCATCGTGTTGCTCATTGTCGCTTCATATTAAAACTGTCATCACTAAAACTTGATTCACTCACGCTAACATGGCTCAGAAACTTCCTAACTAACCGCCAACAATTCACTATCGCCAAAAATCACTCTTCATCACTTTGTTACGTTTCCTCTGGTGTACCAAGGGGCAGTGTTCTTGGTCCCTTACTTTTCCTCATCTACATTAACGATCTGCCTGACAACTTATCCTCATGTACGCGTATATTTGCCGATGACAGCATTATCTATCGTCCCATCCGCAACAATGGCGATCATCTAACTCTTCAAAAAGACCTTGAGCATATCATTGAGTGGTGCAAAACATGGCAGATGACACTTAATGTTTCCAAATGTAAACTAATCACCTTTAGTCGCAAACGTGATAACTTTATTAGCCAATACATAATTGATAATAGCATTATAGAACGCACTGATCATTACAAATACCTAGGCATAAACTTAACTTCTACACTTTCGTAGTCCACACATATCACTTCTATCTGTGCCAACACATCAAGATCATAAGGTTTTCTGCACCGAAATGTATACAGTGCTCCCTCCGATGTGCACAAACTGGCTTATCTTGCTCTAATCCGTCCTCAACTGGAATTCGCATCCTTCATTTGGTCACCATATCAACAATACCTCATAGATAAGTTCGAATCTATACAGAACAGAGCTAGTCGATTCATAGCGCAGAATCACAGCTACCCGTCCAGCGTAACACAGATTAAACATAGCCTTGCGCTCGAGCCACTGAAAATTCGCCGCGACATCTCACTTTTAACACTATTTCACAAACTCATCTACACCAGCATGATGCCATCTGTTCACCTTAACCTAGCACATCGAATTTCGAGCAGACTACATAACACCTTTAGGTTATCACGCATGTACGGCAATACTAACGCTTTCAACCAGTCGGCTCTTCCAGGAGCTATTCGTTTCTGGAATGATTTGCCAGATGATCTTGCGTCAGAACAAGACCACACAATGTTCTATCATAATATTAAAATATACTTATGCACCAAAAACTGCTCTATCGCATCTTCATAATCATCAGTGTTTATAGGACTGTTGCCGATGTTTTTGCACTATTGCTAGGTTGTAGTTACTGTCATAATATTTTTTTGTATTTCACCTTCACATACTGTAACTCACTTTTCTAGTATGTATTTTGCTTACGTGTTCATAAGTTGAACTGCATTTTCTATTATATTCAATATTTGCCTATGTATGTGTAGATATATATGTACATATATTTTTCTAACATATTATCTGTACCGCCCCCCTTACACAATGCCCCTCGAGGGCTCTGTAAGGTACTGTAAATAATAATAATAAAATAATAATAAATCACAGTTAATCAACAAGGAAGGCAGCAACTGACTTGTTCAACAGATGGACAGGCGATGATTTGTTGGTCCTCTGCAGAGTAAGTTGTTCTCACGATCTGGTTCAAGTTCTCATACGATGCCAGAACTTTCGTCTGAAAAGGAAGAACAGAGCTAAAGTTTAACAGTACGTTATGTTGGGCTAGTTGGTAGATATTAGGCTGAAATACGTGGCGCAAGGTTGACAAAGAGAAAAAAAGACGAGACAAAAAGAGCGCCATTTCGCTCTTTCTGTCTCGTCTTTTTTTCTCTCTTTGTCAACCTTGCGCCACGTATTTCAGCAGAACTAAAGTGTTCGCTCTTGCAACACTATACTGCCCAATTATTTTATAATTGTCAACTATTTCAGAACAACAGACAGTTAAATTAGTTGGTAAGCAGTCCTTTTATGGGTGAACTTTTTATTGGCAATCTCAGTAAACCCAGCCAAGCAACTAACTTGCTATACATTCCATAAAAAAAAAGCAAAGTACAGTACAGGGAGGGTTTCCCTTTTTCCCCAGTAATATTCCTGAAAAAAATCCCCCTCATTTTAAACAGCAGTCTTTGACACAAATTCACTTAGCCATACGGCCAAGAAAAACAAAAGAAATTACACAAGGCCAACATCAAAATTTTTGTTGAATTTGTGGACTTGGGAACCTTGCAATCTGCAAAGAAGTGTTGCTGCTCTTTTGAGCTGCGAACTTGTTGTACCCCTGTCACACGGCCACCAACAAACTCCTCTGAACTCCATCAATGTAGAACCTGAGCAGGAAGTTCAACTAAAATGGAGTTGTGCCCATGCGACACAGCAGTTTTACGAGCTTTAGGCAGAAGCTGCGAGGAGTCCACCAGCTGCTGCAATGAGACCTGTACTAGAGTGTACTATAACTTCTGAGTGGCACGACCGGCACACTCTACCTTTGCTTGCAGCTGTCCACGCATGCAGGGAAAGTAGCGACGGCGTGGGCATCGACCAATCTTTCAGTTTAGTTGTTTAGCTTGCTCTGCATGGCTGCCTGGCATGGCCGGCATCTCGCTTTTGCTCGAAAAATGACAAAAACACAGCGTTTAAACCATTGTTACGCGCCAGGTTGCACAACGGGATATCCGCGTATGCGACAATGTCGCAAGTTATCCCTTTTAAGGCCCCAAAAGACGAAAATAGACGACTTCTTTGGGAGCGAAACCTCCATCAACTTGACTGGCCACGTGACGCTGATTGTGCTGTGTGTGAGTTATATTCAGAACCCCATTTTATTGCGAGGGACTACGTCCATATTATCAACAATGTTGAGGTCCGAATTCCCAGGGAAGTGCTGACGCTTGCTCCTGATGCATTCCCGACGATCTTGCTCACCCTGCCTGCATATTTGATGCTGAAAATTTTGGCTCCACTGACTCCAACAAAGCGGCGGCATCAGAGTGTGCCAGCTGAGGACGACAACAAAAAACATCAAGTACACTGACCTTCAAGGGTGCCATAGACAATACACCAAGCTTAAATTTCATTGAGTAAGCAATGTCACAAGAGTAGAAGAAATACTTCAAAATCTGTGACCCCACATGTAGAGATTATGGCAAAAAATTTAAAAATAACACTTTGACCTTGATTTCTTTCTTCATAAATACAATTATGACTCTCAAATTAAAAACATTACTAGAGTTTTATTAGAAAAGTTAATCGATCTAAATCGATTTACTGTTCCACTTTAGTGTTGCTTGAAGTGATTTTACAACTATAACACAAAGTTATTTAAATACATTACTAAAAGATGACTTCAGCTTTGTCGTTCAGTCTGCTTCTATGTTACATTTTGTGTGCTGGCCCTAATGTTTTATGTACTTGATTTCTTGTTATCCTCGTATTGTATAAATATGCAAACTTCATATATTTATGGTCTCAATTATTATTATTAGTAGCAGTATAAAGCTACTAGTTTGCTTTGCTGTGCAGTGGTGTGGCATTTTTTAAACAGGCAAAATCACCTTAGAGTGTTGCTAAAGGCCTTTTTCTACAGTAGGAACTACTTTGCATTTTTGTAGGGTGCTACAACAATGAATGCATCTAAATATAAAAAAATAAAAATAAAAAAGATCTTCGAAAAAAAGACTGCTGCTATTCAGACCACATCAATAAAGCGTACAGTCAAACTCCCCTACCTACAAAGAGCGCCGCATCAAAGAAATTTCCGCTACAACGAAAAATTCACCATTCCCCATCAGCAGTTCATAGGAGTCAATGCAAAACTATTGTCGCCACAACCAACACTTTTTCTTCGATCGTCCCTCTTCAAAGAAATCTTACGGCGCAATTCTAGGCTCAGATACTTATTGCTATGCAGTAAACCCAATCTTTAACATTTCAATGCATTTTCAGAGCCTGAAAATGCCAAACCATATCTAAAACAAGCGTTGGCACCACCAGAAATCGCCGCTGTTCAGCAAACATGGGCGCCGCCATTGCTCGATAGCGATGGCAATGAGACTGCACTGGCAGACGATCCAAAGCTGAAGCTCAGTTGCTCAGTTAATGGTTCCCTTCACCAGCTCCTGGGTGAAACCGCGGAACGATGCCATTTCCGATTCTGATGCTTATCATCATGTTCGCACTTGGCCAGTGTGGTAACTAATCAGAGCAGCTGTTCGTCCGGCTTATCAACAAAATCAGCTAGCTGCGAGTGATGGATGATAAGAATGGCATAGAATAATGAAAAGTTGCCACTCCATGATAGCCTGCCTCCATCTCGGCGTTGTCAAATACTTTTGACGGAGGAGAGCTGCTCGTGTTAACGTGTTATTGCAACTGTTTCATTCGTTCACGAAAGCGGTTTTAGGCGTTGTTTCAGCGTGCTTTTCACCATGGCCTCGCCATGCATGGGTGAGAGGGACGTCGTGACGCAACTGGGAAAGAATAAGTAGTGGACATTTTTTGAATTTTGAGAATAGATGTTCTTTTGTCTTGCTAGCTTAGATCAGCTATATTTTTTTTATTTCACTACAACGAAACTTTCGCGTCAACGAAATTTTTTCCGCAACCCGTCAGTTTCATTGAAGCGGGGTTCGACTAGGATTTTTTTTGCTGTCATCTGTGAAAGAAACATGAAGCAATGTGCCCCGTACTGGATTCCAGTTGTGGTGTTCTACATAGAATAGGCCAACAGATCATCCTTCCGTGTCAACATAATATCTCTCTCTCTCTTTTTTTTTTTGCCTTCCGATGTGTACCAGCTAGCTCGTTTCGCTAGAAAGTGTAACCAGTATAAAAAAAAATTGGCAGATCTCACGTACAGTACGAATCGATGATATGCGAAGCATGAATGAGAAATGTTGATATGCCACTTTAATATCAGCACAACGTTATGAGGTGGATGTAAATGATGCCGTACATGACTTCCGTGCCATGAATATCATGTTTAGATGTGTCGTTTACCTTCGTCATCTATTCACGTCACATGATACCAAATTTAGTATATGCGAAGCTAGCGAAATGGCCACGAGCACGCTATGAGCGTGGTATATTGTCATATTCTTACATGAACCGCATGTGAGGATTATCCTGTTTGCACCAGTCATATATTTCGTCATCCATTGAGGTCAAGTAACACCAAATTTGGTGTACGTGGAGTTAGCAAAACGACCGTGCGCGCATCATGAAGGGCCCAATTTACTCATATGTAGCATTGATGCCCGCGCACGCTGGGCACAGCGACGCTAAGTTAACAAAACGCAAGCACTCTATAGTCTGACGCCAGGCGCGGCCAGCGTCCGTCGGCGCAGCTTGACGGCAACTGGCGCGAAATGCAGCATGCGTTACCCAGAAAACACTCGTCTCTCTTATTTCATGACGTGCATTTTCAGAGCCTGAAAATGCCAAACCATATCTAAAACAAGCGTTGGCACCACCAAAAATCGCCGCTGTTCAGCAAACATGGGCGCCGTCATTGCTCGATAGCGATGGCAATGAGACTGCACTGGCAGACGATCCAAAGCTGAAGCTCAGTTGCTCAGTTAATGGTTCCCTTCACCAGCTCCTGGGTGCAACCGCGGAATGATGCCTTTTCCGATTCTGATGCTTATCATCATGTTCGCACTTGGCCAGTGTGGTAACTAATCAGAGCAGCTGTTCGTCTGCATTATCAACAAAATCAGCTAGCTGCGAGTGATGGATGATAAGAATGGCATAGAATAATGAAAAGTTGCCACTTCATGATAGCCTGCCTCCATCTCGGCGTTGTCAAATACTTTTGACGGAGGACAGCTGCTCGTGTTAACGTGTTATTGCAACTGTTTCATTCGTTCACGAAGGCGGTTTTAGGCGTTGTTTCAGCGTGCTTTTCACCATGGCCTCGCCATGCATGGGTGAGAGGGACGTCGTGACGCAACTGGGAAAGAATAAGTAGTGGACATTTTTTGAATTTTGAGAATAGATGTTCTTTTGTCTTGCTAGCTTAGATCAGCTATATTTTTTTTATTTCACTACAACGAAACTTTCGCGTCAACGAAATTTTTTCCGCAACCCGTCAGTTTCATTGAAGCGGGGTTCGACTAGGATTTTTTTTTGCTGTCATGTGTGAAAGAAACATGAAGCAACACGCCCCGTATTGGATTCCAGTTGTGGTGTTCTACATAGAATAGGCCAACAGATCATCCTTCCGTGTCAACATCATAATATCTCTCTCTCTCTTTGCTCGGACATGCTCATGAAAAAGCAGGAGGTATAACAGAGAGCTCGTATTGGAGGAAGTATAACACACTATCGGCGCTACAGGGAGGTACCAACACGTACGTGGAGCGCCTGCCAGCCATCCACTTGAGAAAAATGGTCGATGCCAGCGTCGTCGCACCTTTCCACGCTGAAAAGCTCGCACCCAGGCAGCTATTCGTGCCACTTAAAGGTTATAGTAAACACTACCTGTACGCGAGATTTCGCGACTAATCATGCTGAAAACATTATCAATCGTACGTGTGCTCATAAAAGCTTATTCAATCTCATCGAAACAAATAAAATGTTTTGGCTTTTATCCTCGAAATGTGTATACCTGCAAGCATGCTGGCGCTCATGTTGCCAGGCTTGCTGGCAACAATGAACATGTTTTGTTATGAGTTTTTTTCGACGTGTGCTGATAATAAAGTGTACTTCTAATTATCAAACCTAGATCACGCTGCCTTTTCCAATATTGGATGAGCACAGGTCTCATGTCTGAAAACGATGGGACAGAAATATATAGAAGCAAAAGAGACATATACACTACTCTTATCAAATGGAAATCTCTTGAACGGGCCTGTTGTTTAAAACTGTCTCTAATACAATTTGTTTTGTACTAATTCTGCAGTATTGTTTACCTTCCAGTGAAGAGAACTCGTGTCGAACAGAACACATTTTCCTAGTGCCTTCAGGCTGCATTTGATGATAGCCTACTGTATATCTGAATTACTGGGAGCTTAACAGGCAAAGAACACATTTGCTAGGACCAAAAAATAAAACCTAAGTTACTGTATTCACTCGCGTATTGAACCCACTCGCATAATGAACCCATCCCCAACCTTGGTCCTTGGAAAAAAAAGAAAAAAAAAACTTTTTTAATGTATCTGTTCATTTTATTTCGGTATAAAGGCCAGTGCCATTGACCATTGAAACAACATTTAATCAAGACATTATATCACAAAATAACAACACAAAAAAAGTGAAAACGTATTTTAGCAACCATGCTAAACAGTTGCGAGCAGTGCGAGCGCAGACTACGTTAATCAGAATTTGAAAGTTGCTCCTTTTGCGGCAAAGCGATGCCGGAGAAACCTCTTTTCTGGTAGAGCCACGAAAGCACAAAAACAAAGCATGTGGCCTCTGAAATGATTGGTGCGCGGCATAAAAACACACCGCGTGCCCGCCCATCTCGGAGGACCATGCAAAGTGCAATTGCTATGACGGCGTGTCGTGCACCCACAACGTCTACCGCAACTTTTGTGTGCCGCCACGCAACGCTGCATTTTTGTTTTTGGGTTTTTTATTGTGAACCTTTTTTTGGGACACTTGCTGCGCAGGGCGCGTTCGGCCGGTACGGTAGCTACACGGCAGGTTACGAACAGCATGCGCTGTAGCATGAGAACCAAGCGGCTGAACAACACTTCGGCATCGGTACGTGCGCTTTCGTAACGAGAGGAAACAAAAAGAGCTTCTGGCTACAAAAAAGATTTGTCACACATTTCTTGGGCCAAAATAAGCAAAGCTGTTACGCAAAAGTTTCGCTGCTATAACACCCGTTATAACCCTTCCCCCAATTAGCGTCAAAGGAAAAGATGGGTTCATCACGCGAGTGAATACGGTATCTGCTGGAACTAACAACATTTTATGAGCTACTGAGTCATCCCTTACACATGTACCAAATAAAGGAGCGGTTCTCACTTTGATGGGCTTGAAGAGGATCTGCTCGGTGTCCTTGTTGGCAAGGTACAGAGACATGCTTCGGGCAAGCGCATTCAGGCTGCTCTTGAGGTGACGGTAGGCACTGCTCACCACTGTGGACACCGAGTCAGGAGCAGCAAACGGTTGGTTTCGCAGAGACACCGTTCGCGTTGGCTCCTGCTGTTTCACCTGTAAAATCAAGTTTGCCTGCAAGGCAAGAAGGGGTATTCTGAACCATATTCTGAAATGAATACTTGAAAAAATTGTCCTCCTTTTACATTGTTCTTTTATGAACTGAGAAAATAATGGCATTAACATGGATAACGCATCGTGAAAAATTTCTGAATTTAATCGAGCTCGAAGGTTTATCAGTGCACCTTGTGACAAGATAAAAGATAAAGTGTCATCTTCTAACGCTGGTTTGCCTCCATGTGGGATGATTTTCTAGACACGGCTCACACGAAATATAGTCAACAGGATTTTCGCAGCCCACTGTTAAATTTTAGAGCTCAGATGTGAAATTCACAATCGGTACGAAACCAAATCTACCATAAAAGACTCCGTCAGTTCTGCTGTTTAATTATGAAACAACAAAGAATATAAAGAAAATGCAATGAAACTTTTGTTGGATATGAATTGATGTCTAAACTGTACTCACAGCCAGCCTTACCTCCAAAGATTCACACGTGAAACACCAGCTTAAGAACTTTTTTGAATTATTAAAAGCAGCGGTGCATTTTGACACTTCCGTACCTTGTCCAGGAAATCCTGAAGTGGTCCAATGAGCGTTCGAGCTGAGTTTGCGATAAACTCCTCACACAAAGCTTTCAACTGGTTGTCAACCGCTTTCTTCGAATCTATAAGGTTCTCCTTTATAGACAGCGTCCCCTAGAAAGAATATAGGCAATTATTCTGTTTCAGGTAAATTAATATCATACATTCAAACCATATTGTACAGAAAAGGGGATTTTAGAACCCACAACTTTATGGGAACTTTTTTTTTTCTGTAAAAAAAGCAATGGAGCAAAAAGTAGCTGTTAATTACTTTATAAAGATAAAGTCTTTCCTATCTTTATGAGGATGTTATTACTTCAGAAAGAGCCATCCACATTTTTTACAACTTTCAATTCCTGACAGCATCATAACAATGATGCAATGCAGTTAATGACACACAAGCATGGTTAAGATGTAGTTACAATAATAGTTAAAGCAGTCAAAATTATCGACAAAGGCAACTGAATGCAGCAACGCAATTGTAGTTCATGCAAATTGTTAGGCAGACTGTAAACAAGCTATGTTTAGTTAATATAAGCTCTGCTGCTTATGCACGTACACACACACAAACACTTAAGCGGTCTTACAAAACGTGCTCACCTCAAGCACAAACTCCAACAAGGCATTGTTTGTTCCCAATGAAAAGAGCCTAGACTTTTTGTTGTACAAACTAAGTGCTGCATCTGCAACAAAGCAGCATAGACAAGAATGGGCGCTGTCAAAAGGTCAAAGAATTGTAACATAAAAGAAGACGTTTACTGGCAGCTTCAAACTTTCATGAAGCATGCAATCAAGAAAAGAGCTAGACACTGTCCCAGCCTGGACACGCAACTTAGAACATTTTGATTTCGAAAATGTCATAATATGAACAAATGACATAATTTCATACAGTTTTACTGACCGCAGGCACAAAATGTTTAGAGATCTAAATTTTTTTTTTCATACACACCCCACCTTTTAAGCTCAGGACACCTACTGTACTTTTTCCATGTTTCAAATACACCAGGTTTTCCAGCTATAGTTCCACAGCTCACACAAGAAAACGAAACCGAAATGATGCAAAACACAGAGAAAGCAAGACACATTGTGGTTTGCGATTCATTCTTTTTGCCCCGCCGTGGTGGTCTAGTGGCCAAGGTACTCGCCTGCTGACCCCCAGCTCGTGTGATTGAATCCGGACTGCGGCGGATGTATTTTCACTGGAGGTGAAAATGCTGTAGGCCCGTATGCTCAGATTTGGGTGCACATTAAATAATTCCAGGTGGTTGAAATTTCCGGAGCCCTCCTCTACGGCATCTCCCATAATCATATGGTGGTCTTGGGACGTTAAACCCCACATATCTAAGTCGTTCTTTTCATATCTTGCAACGTGTTACAATATCTTATAAAGCATGAGTGCTAAATAGGCATATAAAAATCCAATGAAATTTTAATTAACCTTATTTCACACAACTGTGCAAGGTGGTATAGGAGAGGAGATGGTAGAGAAGCTGCACTATCACTGCTTGACAAAGCGTTGACCATTAAAAAAAAAAAAAAAACAGTAACCGGTACTACAGTGATCCCTAAATTTATCAAACTCAGGTATATCTAATTATCCTTCATATCGAATTGTCCTTTGACAGAGCAATGCTTTACCGTCAATGCATATGGCTGCAGTGAACAAAAAAAGTATGGCAGCTCCAATGCTGTGACACCTGAGGAAGTGTGTAGCATGGGCACCCAGTGATTCCCGTTCATAGAGTTCCCACTGCCCAGTTTCCCAAATCGTCAATGACGCCAATGTTTGAGGCAAGCATGTAGGGTTTATACAGCACAAGCAGAATCTTGTTAGGGAGGTTCGCAAACTCGCAGTGCTACATGCGGGCTACTTTTCGTAGCACTTCGTCGACTTCCTGCTTGTTACGGCAGTTGAGATATGTGTCCCCTGCAGCGAGTTCCTTCAGGTTTTTTCCCCCTTCAGATATAACTATAGTAGGCCAGTCAAAGAAGAAAATGTGCACTCTGCGAGGTGGTGGCACCCTCCCTTGTAATACGCTGGAGTCAGCTGTATGTTTCTGAAACATTTTAGTAATCTTATGTTAATTATTACGTTTTTTGATTATTTATACTAGATTATTTTAGATTTTGTTTGTTCATTTCAATCCTGTCTTGAGCACTGCTTGCCATGTTATGGCCTATATTGAGCACTTTACAGTGAGCGTGATGACACCACATGAGATCCATGAATGGACAACAAGCGGGGCCGCTGAAGTGCTCAGCAATTAAAACAGTCGAAACATTCGATACATGCAACACCAGGCAATGCGAAATACCCCAAGAAGGTGGCTTTTCCACACAAAATGTTTGGCTTTTCCTCGTAGAAGGAGACTTTTCCGCATGCATTTCGGAGAGCGAGTGTTGGCATTAGGAAGTGGTCAAGTGGTGGAGCGAGTAGAAATTACCGCTTGCCATCATATTTTTTACTCTTAGGTACGAGGTTGCCATACGATTCTCTGCTTGTTTTTTTTAGCACGGCAAATGCTGCAAAACTTAAGAACCTGCTGTTCTGCGCAAAGCTGGCTACATTCAGTACAGTCAAAATTAGAGTAGTTTGATGCTGTTGCAGTGTACGGCATACCGGGAAGCAAACTGAGTCGATATAGAAAAATGAGGCCAACATTAGGGTCAAGGCAGCACACATGCTTCCAGCGCCCAACGACTACACAGGGCTACACAAGAAGATTCTGAGGAACTACTTACATCTACACTGTATTTTCCAGAGTACAACCCACCCCCTGCATATTACTTCACATCGCCAACTACAAACTGAAGAAAAAACACAGCATAAAAAAAAATAAGTGAAGGCAAATCTTACATCATTATAAAAGAGTGCTGTGAATCCAAGTTGTGTGCTGAAATTTACTCAAAAATGTAATAATTTCATTAAATGTATATAAAGTTACTGATTATATCAAACTGATCCTGACTTTTTGTGAGATTGACATATGTGGGTTTGACTGCATATGTTAATTACATTTTACTGTTATTATTTTATTACTATTATTTGCTTTGAGAACAAATATACATCTGAAAGAAAAAAAAAAACGCAAAGAGCCAGCTGGCTGCTGCCACTAGCAGCAACACAATGCCTGCCTACTGTTCAGAAACAAAAAGAGGTGGGAAATGTAGGGGGTACAAAATAGTGAGGAGAGAAGGAAAGAATGGTAACAGTTACCAATCTGAGACTAACATGAAAGAATGCTGAAAGATCCTGTGGGGCAGCAGACACAGAAAGGTAGCTGCAAGTTTCACCACTAAACTGTTGAAAATTTTAATGAGGTAAGCTCATTCATTACAATGGAGTTGCATCTTACATGGAAATGAGTTTGTTATATCTGAAAATTTCTTATAAAGGCTTATTCCTAACACTATAGCGATCGCAAGACTATTCTTTGTTTACTTCATTATAAGTTATAACCAATATTTTGTTGTATCCAGGCTCGTTATCTTGAGGCTTCAGTTATTATAAAAAGTCTTAGTACTAGTACTAGAAAATAGGCTAGAAACAGGAGGTCTTGTTATTCTAGGAAAGGACAAAGAGTGCAACAGGCCTATCCTAATGAGAATGACTTTGTAAAACAAAAATACCTTGAGCTCACATAACAAAAAAAATCTAACGAATAACACTAATAAAAAAAAGCTACCAAATACTATCCAGCAAAGCAGGCTCAAACATAATGTTGTAAACCAAACACCAACAAGGCGTACCTTTAATCCTAGTAAAGTCCAGGGACGTTTCCTTGATGGCAAAGTCTATTTGAAAAGGTGCAATTTGTTCTCGAAGGATGAGCAAGTGCTTAATTTGGAACAGCTCTCCATCTATGTTGGCCTGCAAGATTAAAACAACACGATGAAGAGTTTCGATCGCAACCTGAAAATATTTCACAGCATTTCCAACACACACTGCTTTTTGCATCTCACAAATCGGCGAATAAAATGACATTCCCAATATCAATGACCACAAAATGGTGTCATTAAAAAAGTTAATTTTAACTGTCTGTTTTAGCAAGGTTATATCCAAGGAGACATTTATTTTACGTAATCAGTGATAGTTATGTTTTGAAGTGAAAGTTTGGGAACTTGACCCAGGTTATGTTGCTGGCTGTCTGATACTAAGCATGCTATTGTGCACTAACATTCACCCCATGCCACAGCAGAGCAGAACTTCTTGCAAAAACTTCACAGTGCTGAAATGCTGTACTGTCGCATCAAAAAGAACAGTCTGTTAAGTCACTTGGTTTAGTGTCATTGTTATTTACTACATTAAGCCAAAAAAATTAACACAGACACGGGAAGAAGCACGGTAAATGAGAATGTGCACTAAGTAACGTAACAGACCTTGTTCTTTGAGATTTCTTTCCCCGCTGCGGATAGGGATTCAATACATGCTGCAAGCACTTCCTGGCTGAGTCCTTGGAAGATGGTTTTCTGGAAAATGAAAAATTAAAAGAAAAATGACATGAAACGGTATACTGAAATGGATCAATGAGAGCAAAGCAATATAACAAGGGAGTGTTTACATATTGAAAATGGAGTAAAAACTACAGCCACCATTTCCATACACTACTGAACAACACTCATACCCCTTCAGCTAGAGAAATCTTTGTTGACTTTTTTTTTTTTGATATATTGAAGACCCTGGTGGAAAATGATTTTCGAAGACAGTTTTTAATTTTGCAATGGCACTTCCCGTTACTAGCACGACAACATTCCCGGCAGTCAAATAAGATCAGACACGATGCTTAGCACTGTGCCAAGAGTCACATCACTCTTACCAGGCCAACACATAATACTCCACAAAAGTGATGAATGCAGAATAAAGTCCATATTTTCTGTTTTTTTAGGGGGGGGGGGAGGACTTTTTGGCAGTTGCCTTGAAGTTTGAACTATCATTTGGTGACTGCAGTCACTGTAAAAAGTTACAATGTCATGATGAACTGGTGCAAAACTTCCTGGTGGTATCATTACCTATCTTTTGTTAGTGCACTTCACCTGACTCATCATTCGCTGTGGCAGTAATAGCAGCTGTTCAGATGTTGCAGAGAGGTAATTTCTAAGAAATGCTGAACTCTTTCGTTACTAGAGCAGACTGGCCAATTTTCAGTGCTTCCACAAAAATATATTTTCTCTGAAAAACAACTAGGCACATTTAACATGGTTATGCATGAAATCATAGCTTGGCTTTTCATGGGCATATAGAAGTGCCACGACGATTACAATTATCCAAACTTTATGCAATAGAAGAAAAATATGTAGAAAAAAGTGTTAACGCTACAAAAGTGAGTAAGTGTGCTTAGCCATAAAATTATTTTCCAAATTCTGAAACATAGAAACTGTTCCTGGACACTTCATTTATCATTTCAGTCATTATATTTAGTGCATAATGTACTATCAGCGTCAAATGAAACCCGAACATTGGCAAGCCTTTGCGACAATATAGTGCCACTTGAAGGCATAAAACTAAGATAAAACTTCTAGATGGAAGGGTAGATGTTCCTTCTGCGCTGTTTTCTTGCAAAAAATCTTGCAACTCGTTCACAATCTTTTGCTTGGTGTCGAGTCGGGTCGAGGAGTTATAAAGGGGGTGAGAAGGGGGCGTGTCCTCGTGCAATATCATATTAAAACATGTGTTGCATTACTTCTTCTATAAACAATAACTGGAGAAGGTAGAGCTGGAACTGCTGGGTTGTCTGATCGATTCGCAGGGAAGCGAATGAAGCCGTTTATGCAGGCGGTATCTACAGAGGGAAAAAAAGGAACAGTTCTCCAGCAACATATGTACTTCCTGACAGAGTGGATCGTGTTAATGATTTTGTTGGTGATATTCCAGTTGTCGGCAAGTACAGGTGGAGTCATAACACAGCAATAAAACTTATGCAGATGATCATCCCAATAAGTTTCAGCATCTCTGGTGGAAGTAACTTCCTCCCAGGCTGTCAGCTGAAAGTAGGTTTCTCAAGCCAGAATACTCATCCAAAAGCATTTTCTATTGCTGTCACATAAGGTGTTTGTAACCTCAGTTGTGAAAAATGAAAATTTCAGCATTCATAAGAACCAACACATTTTGATCTGCCGCACTGCTCCAACATGGGCACCAGTCTCTCTCGGAAAGAAAAAATAGCCCACGATGTGGTGCATTTGGCGAAATGTATTGACCATATGTTGTCACGACCTTAAACCGAAAAATGAAACCACAGTTGCCTAGTATGGAGCATGTTTTTACAGTCGAATCTCATTTATTCGAACTTCCGATTAATTCGAATTCACGATGAGGTCCCGTCAAAGCTATGTGTATTCCGATGGGCAAAAACGCCAGGTAATTCAAACGCCCAAGCCCTTCCGACGGTTAATTCGAACATAGCACGCTCCGAAAATGCTCTCAGCACCCCGCCCGATTCCGCGGCGGCACCTGCGACACCTCAATGCTGCCCGCGAAGGAAATGAAAAGGAAAGAAAAGGCTGCGGTGGAATGTATGGTGGTGGTGGTGGTTAGAAGAGGAGAAAGGCACCTATTTTCTGCAGCCCGGCCGGGAGCCTGGCGCAGTGCCTATGGAATGTTTGCCCTCTCTCAAATGTCGATCTGCGACGCACCCGTGTCACGCTTCTCCCTTTTCCAACCCTGCCACGTTAAGACCCTTCTCCTTCCAACGCCGTGCGCGAAGAGAGAAAGAGAGGAAAAAAAAAAGCTGTCGCTGGGTTGAATGAATGTGTGGTTGAAGGAAAGGAAAAAGGCACTATCTTCTACAGCCCTTGCCCCTTGCGGGAGCACAGCTCTGTGCCTTGAGGGCGGAGGGGGGGGGGGGTCTCTTACGCGCCAGTGCCACACTTCCCTTTTTCATCAAGATCAAGAGACCAAAAAAAAAAAAAAAGCTGCCGTGGAGTGTTGGTTATCTTTCAAATGCCGATCTGCTTCTCTCCGCGTGGAGACGCTCTTCCTTTCTCGTCACGTGCTGGCCATGCTGCGGCTGCGTAACGAAGAGCGGGAGGCTCTGATACGCAGTCTTTGTTGTCGTCATCTTTAGAAAGTGTCGGCGCTGGACAATTTCTCGCGCAACTTCTCTTGCCAGGAAAATGCTGAAGCCGAAGTAGAAATGCCTTGCAAGCTGCGTGCGAAATTGACTCGCTGCAAGGCAAGCGTGTGCAGGCGTGCATCACTGATTACTTCAATTAATAACGAATGTACTGTGATTTGTGAATAAATGTAAGTCTTCTGAAACTTCCCCTCGTGTGTTAGCTCAATACACATGCGCCACTGCATGGAGAGCCCTCCGTTTATTTAGCTTTTATTATTTCGAACTTCTTTTAATTCGAACAAATTTTCAGACCCTTTCGAGTTCGAATTATCAAGATTCGACTGTATTTTATACACAGCGCGAAGTTTAAAACAGAACTGACAAGTGAGGGCTTGTTGAAGTTTTAGGCATCTGAGTTGATGCATCCTGCTCAAAACTTTAGTAAGATGATTGACCCACATCGTTTCTCACGTCATCACCATTGCTGGGGCTAAAAAAAAATCAGCAGCAGAAGCGGCCGAAATGCTCGCAACAGCGGTCAATTTTTTACGGGTGCGACGCCCGCGACGATGGTCTCTCGTGCTACTTTAAACCACCTTTGGTTCACGCTAAGCTTCTGGCAGGGTCTGAGGACGCAAAATATTGCTACGTGTCTCATAACAATATAAACAAACGGCACTGAAACCAAGACAGCAGTCACCACAAAGCGTGCCACATGGCGTTTGTTGTAGTAAGGTGCTGGTTTTACTTTTTACAGGAGATTCAAAGTAATTGGGCATCGTTGCCGATGACCTATGATGCCGCACTAAAAGAGTTAATCTCTAGCATGCTTCAAAAGACGGGCAACTTGCAATGTTGCCACTAAAGGGCAATAAATGGCCACCACACCTAAGAGTACCAGTTAATAAGACATTCTACAGGCTCTAACCAGAAGTGCATCATGTAGAGAGCTTGTTCATTAATCGTTGAAAAATCAGTTGCTGCCCGCATAAAACCCGTGTGCGAAGAAAAGCCAGACTTTAGACTTCAAAATGTATGTGCATTCTTCCTGGAAAAGTTTTTTTATTACCTGTTTCAGTGAGATCATGGCTATTCTGACACAGAACCTTGACTACACTGCATCGTTTTAATCAATGTTGATCGAGTATCGATTCCAAGTTCCCCCACAGACAATATAGAGCGTCTGAAATAAGAGGCTGAGCTGAGCTTGCAAAGAGACACAAAGCACTCACATCGACACAGCGGTAGAGTTTCGAGAGGCACACCAGCGTCCGTCGAACAGTGGGGTACCACATTCCGTGCAAGTCTGCAGGAGAATCTAAGAAGATGGATGTGTTCTCATATTAGTACAGCCTTCACAATTCATTGACCTAAGAACTAGTTTTCGAGCTCACATGCTCAAGCCATCCTAATTAAATGAGGTTACATTTCGTTTCTCTGAAGACATGCAACAAAATGTGCAAATGCTGTGCACCGAGTCAAACTATAGGGAAGAATCTTGGAAACTTGAATGCATGAGAGGTGAAATTATCAGCTCAAGTAAAATAGTGTTCATCATCAGTATACTAAAAAGACGTGGAGTACTCTGTGTGCTAACTCTCCATGACGGCTATATGCAATGGTGTTGGGAACGAGTTAGGCTCCATGGCAGTAAAGAAGCTGCCAAAAAGCATTGTATGTGTGATACTAATCCACTTAAAATGAATGAAATTTGTCCAGAAAGTATCTCGCAATAACATAATAAAAAAGCAAGATTATTTCAGAACGTTTTCAGCAACAGTTACTTTGCAAGTGGTTGAGTGGTAAAGCTAAAATAAAGTAGGAGGGAGCAAATATTCTAAATTTCACATATATGATGAATAGTCTTGGCTACTATTTGACTTGACTTGCACTGAAATTTTACTATTCTAATTATTTAAACTTCCTGAGGACAGATACAGTGAATATGGACAAATACAAATATGTCTGACAGAAAATGGGCCCTTCAGATTTTTTAATATGCTTAACCTCATCAGACTCTCATAGTGCAGTAAAGCTGCCTCTCAAAATCTGCTGTGGTCCCAAATTTATTGACTTAAAAAAACTCCGATTTTAACATGGAGATTATTTATTTATTCATTTACAAATACTGCAACCCCGTTAAGGAATTTTCGCAGGACACGATACAAGTACTTGATACAACTAGTAGAGAAACAAAAACAATGAAAAACAAACTACATGTGGTACAAAGTCTAAGCAAATATACGCTTCAAGTATAATTGAAACAACACGTAAAATACAGCTATTAACACAACAAAAAGGCAAATAAGCTAGTTACACAATGTGGGACATTGACAAATTCAGGGATGGCTGCTACACCACATCGTTGGACAGTTGATTCCATTCATTTATGATCCTAGGAAAAAATGAGAACCTAAAGCAGTTGTTGCGAGTAGTGAAGGGGATGGTTATTAGTGCATGTCACTGTCTTGTAGCATAACCTATAGAAAAGGAGATGACATCAGCAATATCAACCCTGTAGTGTCCCTTAATAAGTTGATAGAGAAATTTGAATGTGAGAACACGATTTCTTTGTGTCAAAGTTGGTAGATTAGCTCTTTTTAGCAAGGCTGTAATTGAAGTGCGTTCAAAGCTATTGTATACAGCCGAAACTCGCAATAACGAAACCCCGCGAGTACAAAATTCCCACAGCAAAAAAATATTTTCAGATCCCCGGCGAATGTTCATAGAAGCCCATGCATTACGTGTCTCGCGGCAACGAAATGTTTTTCGACAGCGATCCCGCATTAACGAATTTTCTACTACGGTGCGGGCCTTATTTTACCCTCCCGCCAAAGGTTAACTGTCGAAAATATGCTCGTATGCGTGTTATGCGCACTCAAAATTTGTAAGCCACTGCTTTCGCCGCGTTAGCGTGGGTACCGCCATTTTTGTTAACCTAAATCGGCGATGGGGTCTGTGTCTGGCAACATGCCTGGCCGCACTGCAGCAGGCGATGGCAAATGATCATGCTAGAGTGCAGATGGCTCCGTCAGACAAGCTCAATAGGCCGAAGCAACACCAACAGTTGGAATCAATCAAAACTACCAAGAGAAGACGAACTCGTGGCGAAATCGATATGAAGTTACAATGGCGTCTGAGAAAAGCTTGATGCCGGAAGCAGATTCTCCTGCTTCCGGCGTCAAGCAAAAAAAGAACGGCAACAATATCATCATCATGTTAAGCAGCCTTGCAGCGACACCATTAGGGGGCAACACAATCCCATCCTGCATTGCTTCCATCATTTCGTCACTTCCGTAGCCTCACACACGTGAGCGCCGTGGGTTGTGTCGTGTGTGACTGTTTGCGTGAAAGTGCTGTGGGTGGCTACCGGCACATCGGCTCTTGCTAAGATGCCCCCCGCCAGCCAAAAAGCGGAAGTTTCTGTCGCTTCACGATAAGGCTGCCATCATTGCCGAAGTTGAGAAGGGCAGGAAGAAGAAGGATATTGCCAAAGAGTATGGAGTTGCGTGCAGCTCGCTTTCGACCATACTAAAGGGCAAAGATGCCATTCTCGCTGCACTTGATAATGGCGCACGTGCACAGAACAAGACGGTGGCCACGGCAACCTTTCCGGAAGTTGATAAAGCAGTTTTCGCATGGTTTGGTGAACACAGTGCCACTGTGAGGAAAAATTCTACAGCAGAAGGCACTGGACTTTGATAGCATCCTCGGGCACGACCAGTTCCGAGTGAGCGTTGGCTGGTTGGGTCGCTTTAAAGTCCAGCATGACATCGTGGCCAAGGCGATTTCCGGAGAAGCCGCAACTTCGTAACAACTTCGTTGTGGCTCCTGACCAACAAAGAAGTACTGGACCAGTACGAGCCCTGCGACGTATAATACGCGGACGAGACGGGGCTGTTCTTTCAGATGCTCCCGTTGAAGACCCTGGACTTGAAAGGCCAGAAGTGCCACGGGGGCAAGCACAGCAAGCAACGCGTTACCACTTTGTTGTGCTGCAATATGGACGGCACAGACAAGCGGCCACTCCTAGTCATCGGCCGGAGCGAGAAGCCCGCTGCTTTAAAGGAAACCGCTACTCGCTGCCCGTTTAGTACACCGCAAACAAGAAGGCGTAGATGTCTTGGGCTCTTTTTTTCCAGCTGGGTCAAGGCGTTCGATGCCCACATGCACAAGGCAGGCAGGTCGGTAGCCCTTTTTTTAGACAACTGTAGCGCCCACCACATCGGCGAGACGGAGCTCACGAACATGCGGTTGGTTTTTTTCCCACCGAACTGTACTTCCCTTCTGCAGCCGCTCAACCAAAGCGTAATTCGGAGCATCAAGTGCGCCTACAGGGAGTGGTTGATCCAGCGTCTGCTACTCAACCTCCGCCACAAGCGTCCCACCGACGGCAACTTGCGCACGGATCTCGAGATGCTGGCCGCCGCATGGGTTGCAACATCCCCATCGCTGATTGAGAACTGCTTAAAGCACGCGGGCTTCACCACCACCGTGCAAGCATCACGCACAGATTGCACTTCCGCCTCACCAGACGAATATTTGAACGAAGGCACTCTTGACGGCGAGAATTGTGGCAGTGCAGTGCCTCTATCCCTGACCACCACCTGGGGGGAACTTTGAGCCATCAACATCGACATCCCAGATGAACTCACCGTCGATGCGTTCGTTCACACCGATGACGACGTAGTCGTGTATGAGGAAGTGACCGACGAGGCCATTATCGAAAGCGTGCGTGAAGCCGACGACACCGAGGACCAAGAAGAGATGCGTGCGGAGAAACCCAATTCGCGGGTTGTTTTGGATGCGCTGGACACCCTTAGCTCCTTCTTTGGCGCACATGACGACGACATAGCAATGAACCACTTTTTCCAGTGCGAAGGAGGAGCTTTGAAGTTGTTGCATGGCAAGCGTCGGCAAAGTCGACCGACTTCTGGCAATAAATTTTCGTTCTGCTGGCCATATTACTGTTTTTGTCTCAAACTCGCGGCAACAAAATTCTCGCGAAAGCGAAATTTTTCAGTTTCCCCGGCGATTTTGTTATTGAGGATTTCGACTGTATATATCGAACTGCCCGCTTTTGAATGCCTTGTACTTTATCAATGTCTCTTTTGGTCAAAAGATACCAGATTATGGATGTGTAATGTAATACAGGCTGCACAATTGCGTTAGATGCAAGAAGACAAACATCGGGGGTCGTGAATCTCAAAGCCCGTTTAAAGAAGAAAAGCTTTCGATTGGCAGAATTATACATAGTATTGATGTGTTTGTTCCATCTGAGATCATTACAAATTCAAATACCAAGATATTTTATGTAGTCAACTTCCGAGAGCAAGACATTGTGTGCCGAATACTGAAAATGAAGATTGCTACGCTTGTGCGAAATTTTTATGAAAGCTGTTTTGTCAAAGTTGATGGCCATCTGCCAATCATTACACCATTTCATTATTCTATTGAAGGCTTCATTTAGTCGTATCTGGTCACTGATAGTATCAATTTCTGAATACATTACGCAGTCATCCGCATAGAGTTTAATTTTCACAGGGATGTCATTAACACCCCGTAGTGGCTTGTTCGATCCCTGTTCATGGCCCTGTATCACCTTTCAAGTCGCTTGTCGTGTATCTTGATTTCAAAAATGCCGATGATTCTAGTGTAGTCACTCATCTTTCCTGCAAATATTATTCTTTTGAAGAGCTAGCTAATAATCCTGCATTAGACATTGAATTACTATGCCAGAGATTCAAAACCATTATATTCTTTTGTATAAATGATTTCATAACTAGTAAAATAAAACAAACAAAAAGGCACGGCCCTTGGATAAACCGTGATCATACACACCGAATGCAAAGTAAAATGACTCAGAAAAATGTTAGAAAAGAGACCAAGTCACGAAACTCGCTTATTGCTCACTTCAGCTATCACTTTTATGAAATCAAAGATAAAGGCAACAAAATTATTTTATCTCTCTAGTATCCTTATAAACTTTCTAAAAAATTCACTACAAAATTTTTGAAATTATCTTAGCCCTAAATGCCAAAAAGAGGATCCTATGTCTCAAGAAAAAAAGTAAAGAAAAGGCCGACCTAATGAACAACCACTTCAAGTCAATTTTCACTGATGACAATGGGATCCCACGCGATATTCACCCCCACAATTTGGATAGAATAGATCACATCTCCTTAAAGGGGGAGGCTACCATCGGATACCAACTTTTTTGTTTATTGAGATATCTTAATGAAATTTTCAGGATAGACTTATATCAAAAGCATTAGAAGAACTACAAAATTTCATCAAGTTATGTTCACTGGTTTTCAA